TAAACTTATAACTGATAATGATCAGCTACATAGCACTTATGTAGTGAACATTAATATTGCATAACATGTAAATAATGTTTGTTTATTGTTTTTGCCGATCAAAATGTATCGCCTGCTAGTATAAAAATGGCTGCCTTCTACAGTTGTTAATGTTTAAAAGATTTCACACAAGTTAAAACCCATGTTTGCCTCTCAGAATGAATTTTAACTAAGGCTTTATAACAGCCGTGTTATATTTCAATTTCTCATGAATTTAGACCTTGTCTTCGTATTACAGAACATTGTTCGTGCTTCGTTCATAAACATGTCTGTACTGATTAGGGAAGTAACCGCTGCGAGAAGTGTAATGTATAAGCAACTGTGACGGTTACTTCCCCTGATCAGTAGCAAGACGCGAGAAGGTTAAAATAGCAGATGTAAAACACTTACTGGTATGAGATAAGAAACCATTTACTTTATACATGTATTTTGGGAAAGATATGTTGAGTAGGATTAGAAAACAAGTAATAAATTAAAGCGCACAACTTTTATTACCTTAAGCATACCTTTGGCCTATAATGCGGCAATGTAAAACTTTTGTTTTTTAATCTAGGGGAAGATTTGATTTATTATAGGGTATAAATCGATTAACTTTTACACAAGAGTTTCAAAAGTTTCAAGAGTTTATTTTGAAATACATCTGGGCAATATGCCCATGCGTACACCTACGTATAACAAATAAGCATCTAATGCCGTCAAATATGGAGGGCGATCGTTGCCAAAATTCCAGACATGTAATGTGTTCCTTTTGAAAACTACTTTTGAAAATGCGAACATGTATGTCTAGCATTTTTTATTGCATTCGTGCACAGCAAATGATGATATGCCTCTTAATCCAATCTTTTAATTGAAGGCACCCGCTTTTAAATAACAAGTTTACATGTAAATCTTAACAACTGACCTATGCGTTACACATATGGATTATGGACCTAACATGGAGAACAACAACACATTTACAAGTTCGTATCTACCATTGCATATAATACATAAGCATGTTTACACACTTGTAAATATATATCTGTACCTGAAAAACACAAATGAAATGTAAAACTCGAATGCAGAAAATATAATTTAATAAAACGTGTTCCAGTCGTAGAACTACAACAGTACGTTTACACAGTTACATGTTTAAAATGACAAAAGTAGATTCACAAAGTTAAACGATTCTAAGTCATGCATGACGCCCCGCCTCTCTCTGAGTAATTACGATCTTCTATCACGGAAATGTACGGACAGGTATAATACCCGTCGCCTCTCTAAAGTGAAGGAAAACACGGCGTCCATTCTAACTTTTTTTTATTTCTATAAAAAGTCCAATATTATTGGTATCAAATGAAAGATTACTCCATAAGCTTTCTATGAGTGCCTCGGAAATAAAAATGAATTAAATAGATGTATTGAATTTTTAGGTTTTTTTACTCTGAAAATAACCTTCTCGAATTGGTAAGAAAAACACGGCGTTCCTCCAAACTTTTTTTTAAGTTCGTAATATATTTTGATAATTTTGGATTGAAATAAAAGTGTGCTTCATACGATTTATGATATATAATTATATAATGCCTAAAAATAAAAATGAATTAAATCAAACTGAATTAACTTTTCGTTAAAAAGTTTATCATGTTACTTTCTGTAAAATAGAGAAAATAAGAATCCCTAAAGAACGCTCAAAACGACAAAATTGAGAATGTTGCAGGCCCGGTTTGATTGAGACTGCTCATGGACGGTAATGGAAAGAGCAAGTTATCGTCCACGCCCCCTAGCACCGGCTTAAGCAAAATTCAACATGAACTGGTACAATTTTGAAACATCCGCAGATGTGTTAATATGGCGATTATCACGGAACCTTCAATGTGACACGTAAGTGCCATACCATGAAAAACGGCATATGATCCCCAAGTAAAAAAAAACACACTCTGAAATTCAGTAAGAAAAACATGGCGCCCCCTACTTACTTTTTTTATTTCTTGGTCAATTTTGATAATAAACAAGATCATCAAGGAAAGGCGGCGTTGATAATTTTAGACTCAAGTAAAAGAATCCTTTATGAACTTTCTAGTGATGCCTTAAAAATGAAAATTAATTATGTAGAAGTATTAAAAAAAAATTGTTTCTAATTTATCGTTGTTTATTTTTTCTCTTAAATCCACACTCATATATTCGGAAAAAAATAACGTCGCTTCCTTTAGATACTTTATTCAAAAAGGAAATTGAATATTGAATGAAATTTAAGACCATAAGCTTTGAACAAGTATATTAAAAATCTGGAAACAAAGTGATCCCTCGGAAGCATTAATCACAACAAAATTACATAAGAATTGCAGATTCGGTTTAATTGAGTCTGCACATGAGGGATAATGAACAAGTGCAACATCCCTCACGCCCCCTACCACCGGCTTGAACGGTACTCAATTCTCAACACTTAATAGCGCTGGCATCAATGATCCCGAAGGACCAGAAAAACACTGAAGTGAAGTACGGGGCAACTTTTTACAGCTGCCACACGGCACTTGACACCTGCTGTTGTGAAGTATTAAAATCTGGAAACAAAGTGATCCCTCGGAAGCACTAATCACTACAAAATTACATAAGACTTGCAGACTCGGTTTGATTGAGTCTGTACATGAGGGATAATGAACAAGTGCAAAAAGTTTTTATTCATACTGAAAATACCTTATTAAAGATTGTACATATGTGCTACGGATAAGTATTTTCTTGATTTCGGAAAGGAAATCTCGGTGGCCGCTTTAAAATCCTATTTTTGCAAATACTTGCATAGTTTTTGTTGAAAATGAAATTTGTGCCAATACATTTTTCAATGATACCAATAAGAATATTGGATGGCTTTTACATTATCAATAAAATTACTCCCTTGAAGTTGGTCATTGTTTCCCCTAAAAATTTCCAAATCGCCGATGTTTCTCAGGAATATATGATAAACAAGATCAACAAGGAAAGGCGGCGCTCAATGAACGCAACCCTACATGACCCAGCAACAAGAACAAGTGGCAAGAAGCCCAGGCGGACCCCAAACAAAACACAGGACAGGGCACTAGGCATAGCACGGACAGGCTAATCACTAAAATGATAAATAATTTGTAACTGATAAGAACACGATGTTAAATAATAAGGTAATGCACAAGTTATCATAAATGGTAAAATCAGCAATTTTCAAGTGATGTTGCTAGTGACAAAACTTTTGTAACAAATGTAACATATATATGTTATGAAAAATGCCGTATGTTGTCCTTCAGTTTTATTTAAAAATATGGGAGAGGCGCCGTTTTATACCTGTCCGCAATAGAAGTTCGTAAATACTCCGAGAGGGGCGGGGCGTTATGCTTGACTTAAAATCGTTTAACTTTGTGAATCTACTTTTGTCATTTTAAACATGTTACTGTGTTAACGTACTCTTGTAGTTCTACAACTGGTAGCACGTTTTCTTAAACTCTATTTTCCGTATTCGAGTTTTACATTTCATTTGTATATTACAGATCTATAAGTGTACAAACATGCGTATGTATTGCATGCAATGGAAGATACGAACTTGTAAATTTGTTGTCGTTTTAGATGTTAGGTCAGTTGTTACGATATATATGTAAACTTGTTATATAAAGGCGGTAACCTTCAATTAAAAGATTGAATTAAGAGGCATACAATAAAAATGGTAGGCATACAAGTTCGCATTTTCAAAAGTCATTTTAAAAAGGAACACTTTACATGTCTGGAATTTTGGCAACGAACGCCCTCCATAGTCAAATGGTCAATGTCAATACTTTATGAAACATAATTTATATCATTAAGTTACACAGTACTTTAAGCAATCAGAAAGTGTTAAATAAATATCTAATAGAGTAAATCACAAAACAAAACAAAAATAGATATATATATACGAAACAGTGATACAGCGATCCGGACAGACTTTTCATTAACTGTAAAGAATAGTGTTTCGAACATCGAAATCTTGAAATATATACAATGATAAGTTTCAAATTTCTTTTTAAATTTCATTTTCTGAATTCATCAATGCAACAAATTAGGGTATATTTGGTCTTTTCCATTATTTCTTTATAAAAAATTCGTGAATCAGCATATCGCTAACATTCTAAAATGAAGTGAAATTGATCTTTAAAAAAAAAAAACTATTTTTACATTTTCTATCATCAAAATGTATAGCACTAGGTTTATTTCAGTCTTAAGTCTATGTGAATAAACTCTGAGCCGGGACAACGCTATTCTAAAATTTTCAATATGAATACAGATTAAGTACTTTTGCAATCTAAAGACTGCAATCAATACATACGTACAAGCTTAAGTTTCGTCATTTATTTTTGAAAACCAATCTCGGACAAAAACATCATTGACTCTTTGTTTTACTTAACTAATAAATACATGACATTGCCTTCACCTTTGGATAACCATACATCATTAAAACCAAGTGACTGTAATAAATCTCTAATACTTCTAGGTGTTACATATAACTGTCTGTACAATAAATCATATGCTATTTCAATATGTTTTACAACTTCAAGTTGTATAATTTTAAGCCAGTATTTATTACACTTACAATTCTTTTGCATTTCAAGTTTGTTCTTCCTAGTTCTCGATAAATAAAACTGTTCTGTTTTGTACTCTGAGGCCTAACATTCTTTTACAAACATTTTAATGCACTTGTTTCTAATTTACAACTATCATATAGACCGTTTATCTCTAAAGCATGATTCAAAATTAGTGAGTTGAATTTATCAAAAAGGTTTTATTTATTATTCACAGTTATACACGAGTATTTAAGCAAATCTGGTTGTAATTCAAATAATGCCTTCAAAGCCTGACTAGATAGTGTTTGAAAAGAAGTATTAAAATATCCACCGGTTGTATAGACTACTCCTCAATAAGTGAATATTTCGGCAATCTTTACATGAAATTAAATGTTGGAGTCTCCCTTTTCTCAAAATTATCATATACGTTTTCTTAATATTAACAGTAAACCTCTTACAATTATTCTCCAATAACAATAAACCTTTATGCAAGCCTTCTTTTGTTTCAGATACCGATATCAATTTCATCTGGATATAAATGTAAAAACACTTTTAAGAAACCTAATTTAGCTCATGTCCATTCATAATAAAATATTATTCTATGTAACACAATATTAGGGATAAAAGCGTTTAAAACACACTGATAAGAGCATATTTCTTATAACCAAGGCTACCCATAGATACGTATTCTGATAAATTTGTAAAATTTATTATACTAGTTCGTAAAAAAACATTATCAAATTTCAAACAAATTTTGTTTGAAAAGATTTTTCCTGTGTGGAAGTCTGATGTGCATGTCGGATTCTGACCACACAAATCCATCTGTAGAAAAGTATTGTCTTAAACTTTTGTGAAACAATTAACTATCCATTCTATAAATAGGAACATGTAAGTGTTCAGCTAAGGAAAAAATAATGACAAATATATTACCTGAAACTGAATGAAAGATATCATTAATAAGTTATAAAAGTTGGAGGGAATAAAAAATATATAATCGTATTAATGTAACCATTCTGACAATTAGGGCCATTTGACCTTGACCTTTGACCTAATTACCTAAAAACAAAAGGTGTAATCTACCAGTTATGACCAATCAGTATGTGAAATACGAAGACTTTTCGATGAATCGTTTTCAAGATAATCAGCGGAAATCATTCTGACATTTAAGGTCCTAGTGAACTGGGCATTTGACCTAGTAACCCGAAAATCAATAGAGGTCATGTAATAGTTATGATCAATCAGTATTTAAATATGAAGAATTTGTGATAAATATTTTTCAAGATAAGCAGCGGAAACTTTTCCGACATTAAAGGCCCCTGTGAACTTGACCTTTGATCAAGTGATCCGAAAATCAATGGGGGTCATTTACTAGTTATGACCAATCAGTATGTGAAATACAAAGACTTCATTGTGAATATTATTCAAGTTAATCAGCGGAAACCATTCTGATCATTCAAGCCCCTGTGACGTTGACCTTTGACCTAGTGACCCAAAAATCAATAGGGTAATATACTAGTTATGACCATCAGTATGTGAAATATGAAGATTTTGTGTTAAATTGTTTTCAATATAGTCAAGGGAAATCATTCTGACAGTTAAGGCAATTTTGACCTTTGACCTAGTTACCAGAAAATTGATAGGCATCATTAACTAGTTATGACTAATTAGTTTGTCAAAAATAAAGACTTTATGATGAATAGTAATCAAGATAATCAGCAAAAACATTCTGATATTTAAGGCCCCTGTGACCTTGACCTTTAACCCAGTGACTCAACAGGGGTTATCAACTAAATATGACCAATCTGTATAAAAAATATAAGGACTTTGTGATAAATAATTTTTAAGATAATCAGCGAAACCATTCCGACATGACGTTGACCTTTGGCCTAGTGACCCAAAAATCAATAGGGTAATATACTAGTCATGACCAATCAGTATGTCAAATATGAATATTTTATGATGAATATTTTTCAAGATAGTCAGAGAAAACCATTCTGACAGTTAAAGCCCCTGTGACCTTGACCCTTGACTTAGTGACCCGAACGTCAATAGAAGTCATCTACTAGTTATGACCAATCAGTATGTGAAATATAAAGACTTTGTGATGAACAATTTATAAATTAATCAGCAGAAAACATTATGGCATTAAAGGCCCCTTAACCTTGATCTATAACCTAGTGGCCCAAAAATCAATGGAGTTCATCTACTAGATATAATCAAACAGTATGTAAAATATAAAGACTTTGTGATTAAAGTTTTTAAGATAATCAGCGGAAACCATGTGATCTACCGACAGACAGACCGACAGACGACCCACTGACGACCCACTGACATTATCAAAACAATATACCACCTTTTCTTCGAAGGGGGGCCTACAAATCATACTGCACTTAGAGCTGCATGCGAGAGACATATTTTAGTAATAAATTGCAAATGTGAAAATTTGCGGCGTTGTTCCTTTCTCGTAATTGACGAGAAATCATAAAACACTGTAATGCCCCCTTGCATTTGTTGTCCTCCTCCATACATTGGCCAAGAAGATTTAGAGCTGTTTCTCTGTGGCCAAGGTTTTTATCAGATACGGTTGTTCTCGCAAGGCTTTTAAGTGCACGTTGTTGGTCCTGATGTGTTTGTAGATGTCCGTATGCCTTGTACTGTAAAAAGAAGAGAAAAGGAAGAGAATCAACCACTGCAAAGTTCATCCAAGCGCTTTCTCTCTGCTTTCTGTGTTGCATGTCACCTTGCGTAGATCTCATCATTTCATATTGTAATTCTCGAGGAACACAGCTGATTTCCATTTGCATGAATCTTACACAAAATGATGTTGCTCGATTGATGCAATATTCGTTCTGTTTGCAAAAATTTCTCACAAGTTCTGCAGAACGGTTTGACAATGGGTAAGCCGAGCAAGCACATATAGATTCAACAACATCACAGTTGTACCGATTGTCAATTTGTTTTAGAGTTAACTCCGCTTTATCCATATCACCTGCGCAATACAACACTGACGCTAGTTTAAGTCCGCCGGATGTCACATCCGATTTTAAACCCAATGAGAGCCACTTAAGTGCTTGATATTGAACTGCAATATTCTGTTGAATATTTGATGATGCCATTATCGATCCAAGGCTGGAGAAAAGGAACGGTACAAGACAACGGCTTGCAAGCTTTTCTAATCTGTTTCCTTGTAAGCTATAGTGTACTAGCTTTAAGATATATCGTTTAAGTTCGTCTAGTATATGATTTCTTTGATGTGACAAGCCTCCATAAAAGCATAATATCATATCGCTTATACGTACTGCTATATCATAATTTAACTTATAAGAAATAAACTCATTTATTTCAAGAGGACTTTGAACGATAATTGTGTAACTTTTAAATTTTGATTTATCGAGTATATGTTCTGCTTTTTTTTTTAATTTAATAACTTCTTTTGGGCAACCATATGGATTAGGAAAACAATTTTCTTCACCTTTTTCATTTAGTCGAAACCAAATATGATCCAAATTAATTTTAAACAAAAAGTCACCATCACTCTGTATTATGTCACTTATACCCCGTTCAATAACAAGCTTTTCTTCAGCAGTAAAATTTCCGGCCATTAGGTTGTTTTCTGGAATTATAAAATGAGGGCAATTTTCATTTTGAATATAGCTTTGCAGTTCAAGCAAGCAATATGTTAAACAGGTGAAAAGATTGTTTTTTTTCCAAATATTTTGGTCGGTCTTTTGTATACAGTGTAACAATACAGTTTTACACATATAACTACTCAAAGCACTTTGAGATGTAAGAGAAGTTTTCAAAATAATTTTCATCAAAACATAACAATGTATTTGTGTTATGTTTAGATTAAACATTAGGTATCTTTCTCCTAATGATGTGGATTTCCTCCATTCTAATTCTGGGTAAGTACTTATCTTACTGCTAGCACCAACAAGACAACAACCATTACTAGAAATATATCTGATCATTTCAGACGTTGGCCATCTCCCTATGCTTTGTCTGTTTAGGAAATACGAAGTTGATTGTGGCAATGAATTACAATTCATAGCATAAACTATGTCAATATCACTGTATCCTTTTCCCCCGGGGACAGCATTAGATGGCCCGTGTCTCTCAGAATCTTCATATAAACCACAATAGAATGTATTTTTCAATAAAATTCTCCCACTACTGTCTTTGATAAAATGTTCTTTACCAATACATTCGTTATAAAGGACTGTCTCAAATTCAGGCTTATCAGGTCGAAGTAGTTGTAGGAAACAATATCCAGGTGTTACATACTCCTTATCATGTATCATGAGAAGATTGAATTGATTCTGTTTCCACTCTGACAAGTCCTGTATTACATTACAACCATAATTCACGTGCAGTATGTCAGCATCTGATTTGAGACCTAATGTAGTTGTACCTTCAGACTGACTCCCAAGATAGTATACAGACAGGTTTAAACCCATTGATCTCTGTCCTACGGTTATAATATTCTCCACCAGCATATTTTGTCTCCTTCTTTTCATCACCATATCTTCATTGACACCAATATCCTCTAATACCTCAGATAAATGCAGTGACAAAGTATTTCTATATTCTGGTGAATGAAACATTCTGAAATGATAACAAATAAACAAAATTGTCAAAATGAGATTACATAAATGAAACTTAGTTAGATATGGTTGTAGAATAACATTACCCTGTAACACATATAACCAAAATATTATTTTTTTAATTAATGGAGCTAGAATAATAAAATACTATTTTGAGTCATTAAGTTGTAAATTTGGAAATTGTATTTCCATTAAAAAAATTTATAAAAATACAACCCTAGAATTATATTTTGTTTTATTAAGATAGAAATCAAGAATGATGTCACCGTTTGCTGATAATGTTTTACAATTTTACATTGGTCAAGCATATATTCTCACGGTTAGAATATTATAATATCAAATTATTCAATAAAAAATCCTATTGTTATGAAATATTACTTCCTTGGGTATTTCTATGTTAGAACATGAAGTTGTTTTATAATTTTCCAGCGTCTTTCATAACGGTTTTTATTAGTGTCATAGTACTAGTGCAGATAACAAGACCCAACGCTTTACATTTTCTTATTTCTAAAGTCAAACTCTTCATAAGGATAACAGAGGAAGAATATTATATGAAAGAGGACACCAACAAACATTTTCTGTTACAAAGAGAATTTTAATTTCGTATTTAAATTTGACGGTCAAAGTCATTCAAAGGTTTGAGGTCTAATTGAACTAATCAGCATGTCTGTTTTGCAATTAATGCTCTTTTGTCAAAATTTACAATTTAAGCAAATTTCGATAATTTGACTTTGACGGTCAGGGTCAATGTAAGGTCAAAACTTTAGAATTATTCAACAGATCGGTTTGTTATATGTGTTCTTTTGTCAAAGTTTGAAAAGATATGTAAGTTTTAAGTAAAGTAACACAATTTTCGAAAAAAAAATTCAATAATTTGACCATGACGGTCTAGATCAGTTAAAGGTCAAGGTCATATCAGAATGATTTGACATGTCGTATTTCTTAATATGTGTTATGTCTAATTAAAAGATCTGTAAATAAATGAAAAAATAGTGAAAATTAAAACTAATTTTTATTATTCGAAATAGAGTCAAATAAAGGTTTATGTCAAATTTGAATTTTCCAACATTTGTATTTGTCATAAGAATGCTCTTTTCTAATATTTAGTCAAATCAATAAAGTATTAACATTGCTATGGCCAATAGTAGCAGAGTTCACTTTATGTGTCAAATTCAATTTAAACTTAATCTTCTTCAGTGGCTTACTACAAAGATTTCTGTGTACAAGTATAGGACAAAACATTCAATAATTTCAAAGTTAAAGGCAACATAAAGGTGGAATTACAATCACTTGACCTGTTAAGGCAAGATTTGTAATAGGTTAAGGTCAGATCAAGTTTGATTTTTGAAAGACATTGTTCTTAAGGTAGCTGTGCTAAGAAAGTTATTGCTCATGCTTTTACCCTTAAGGTTAATACAAAATATCGAAAACGGAGATCAACAAGGCGCAGCCAACGTTCACAACCTCCGAATCTACCTCAGCATGACAACCATGAATTTAACTAAAGTTGACAGAATTAATCACTTGATAAACCATTAAAGTACTTTTATAAAGAAGTACCAGCATAATCTTAGTGTGTTTGAGGACAAACTCATCATAAATTGTTATCAGCCAAGTTATCAAAAAATCTGTCACTGAAAGACAAGGACTATGAATTTGAAATATTGGCTGCTGAGCCAAGTCTTGAATAGTAATATTTGAAACGAAAGTATATCCATGAATGTTCGCTATCAGTTCCTCTACTTGTAAAAGGGTTGGTAAGCGAACAGCATTGATCCTGATCAGATTGCGCGAATGCGCAGGCTGGTCTGGATTCATGCTGGTCGCAAATCCATTATGTTGGTTTTGTCATGACGCTCATATAACTTTCACAATTTCATTTTTTCGTGTACATAAGCATCAAATTACTGTACAACAGAGGTAGCATGTGTGTTTTTTCATTTACTTAGTCGTAGTTACATGTATTTAAGTATTTTGCACGAGTTATTATGTGATGCAAAAGAGATAATAAAGTCGTTCACACAAGAGAATTAGCAAATCAAATTGTCATGAACAATATTTCTACCAAGTAGCATCACAATGGGTTATTTATTCCCAAGCTATTTAGTCGACAAGGATTTTACTGTATGTGTCATTGTAGCATTGACCTTTCATCTCATCTCATCAAAATCGTAAGAGATTTTCTACTTTTCATTCAGGTAATTAAGTAACAAAATACATGGCTTATTACTTATCAAGTGAATGGACAAATATTTAAAATTAAGCGTTATTATGACCGTTATCTTTAACCACATGATTTCAAAATCATAAAGTGTCATCTACTGATCAGTTGGCCATACTTTGTGATATAAACCATGGCATATTCCTTTTCGAGTTATTTATCAGACACTGATTATACATGAAGTATCATGGTTACCTTGACCTTGACCTTATGATCACAAACAACAATAAAATTCATTAACCGGTCATGGCCGATGTCCCTACCGAAAAAAATAAACCAGGCTTATTCTTTCTGAAGTTTTCATAAGGACAGGGATAACATAAAAGGGTCATAACGTAGTCAAAAAGAATGTCTGATTGATGGGTCTCATTCCTCATATGAAATGATCCTTAAAAAATAAAGACGTGTATCAAATTTCAAAAAATAATACATTAAGTAGATTCAAAGAGTATTGTTGCATGTATGATTTTAACCAGACTTTTTTCATACATACAGTTTGATCTGATTGGTTAACTATGTTGTGTCCATGACTAAATTATGTCATGCGCTAGAGATGAATAAAAATACATGTGTCCAATCTGAGCAACAATATCAAGATAAGAAAGAAAGACGCGGACAAAAAAATAGCGCGTAAATACTTATTAATTTATTTCTAAAGGAAATATTGCTTTTTTCAAAGGATATTATTAGTAACAAGGCAGTTATCCTACTATTAGAGATATCCTATCAATTCTTATATATTCTCGCGGTTTTTTAGCAATTGTTTTGTTGTTGTTGTTTTTTTCTTTGAAAAATCTGTGATATTCTGTAGCTTGAATTGATAAACATACAATTCTAGGGTTAGGGTTTTTTGTTCAAGTTAACTTGATGTAACATTAGAACAGAGTATCTTAATAAATATAAACTTTGTCCTTACCATTAAAGTTATTTCTTTTCATTCTTGCATTATCAGAAGTGTAAGTTAGATAACCTCAGAAGAATACGTTAATCTGTGAATTTCAACACAGTTTTTCAACAAGAACTAAACTCACTTTCTTTTTAACACGATATTTGACGGTCATTTTTTATAATTTGGATTACTGATTTCCAAATAAAGTAGGTTTGGCGTGGGCAAATAAAATCTTTCATATCTTAATGTCCTGAAGGTAAGATATTTAGTAAGTGTATGTATATCTTCTTTGCCCGACTCTGATAAATCTGGTAAATAAATAGGACTTAGTACTTAGTACTTACTACTAGAGTATTAAAATGCAAATTATCGCAGAGTGTCTTCATTCCACAGATTTCCTCAATACACAAAATCATAAGCTCACATGTGTGAAATCAAAAAGCATTCACAAATAAGTAAAATATCACGTTGCGATTGTTTAACAACCCACATTAAATCTACACACGATGACTTCTGACGAGGAGTCGCAAGCCGCCCTTTCAAAAGAATCTGTCATTCTTTGATGTTTACACACATGTGTTACTGTTGTGTAATCCGAATCATGAAATGTTCCGAAATTTGTTGTATAGATCAGACGTTAAAAAACTGTCAAGAATAGATTACACGTGTTCAATTATTGCCAAAGTTTAAAATATTTTATCAGATAGATAGCGGGTCAATTATTGACATTAACAAACTATTTATCGTGAGTTTTTTTTGTTTGTTTTTTTTGTGTGAGAAAACTCAATGGACTTGTTAAGACTATTTTTTGTTTTATCTGAAAATAATCAGTTTGTCACTTCTAATCAAATCTAAATTAATCTAATTGTATCAGATTTCTCTCGCTCTGTCCTTGAATGTGATAACTTTCTTATTTTTCATTTATTTATTATACATTCATTTATTTTTTTTTTTTTTTTTTTTTTTTGAAGTTGTTTTCTCGACATTTTTACGCATTTTGACATTACAAACACATGATTTTATAATATATAGATATATAGATTAAACATATTTTGAAAATTCAGATCCTTGCCTGATTATAATGCGAGAACGGTTTGACCCATTTTACAGTCATTCTTTCATATTACCGTCAAAAGTTATCTCGGCGTTTCTTTGACAAATTATATAGGTTTATCACAGAAATTCCCGATAGCATATATATATCTAATTTATTATCGGGGTATTTCAACGTATTTCAGAAAACCAAAAGTTTTAAAAGTAATGGCCTTACAACTCGGCATATTTATGGGCATTTGGGATATTTTATATTATCATGTCCACAACAGCTTTATAGTCGGTATGGTGATGCAGAGATATTTCCCGATGGTTCAGTTGTTATTTATTAAGTGAAATACATTGACTTTTGATAATTTTCGTTCGGCACAAAATCTTTTGCCACAATTTTGATTCTTTTTATCTACCTAACATTAATACGTGAAGAGGCTTTTAAAGGCATAGTAAGCTAATTTTCAAACACAATCAATAATCCTACATCATGTCGGTGTAACATTAAATTTTAACCCTGTTGAAAGTTTATCCCAAGATATATTTTCTGACGGATTTTGAGCATTTCAAGTTACAAATTGATACCTAACCGTTATTTATTGACAAACGTGAAAAAATTACCCCCAGTTAAAAACTGATCAACTATAGACAGGTCATTCTTAAACATTGATAAGTGATCAAAACAATCTTGCCAAACATGCCTATATGTTCATGCGTATGAAACGTAATATTTCTGTATTACTTTCAGATTTTTCAGAAATGAATATCTATCTATCCGTTCGATTCAAGTGGACCAGGAGCTAATAATTTGCCCATCCGTCGGTAATTACTGATAATGCTCAGCTATATGACACTTATGTATGAACTTTAATATTGGATTGCATGGATTATGTTTTTTCCCCTACCAAAAGGTGTCGCAGGCTACTATAAAAAATAACTGCATTCTACTGTTATTAATGTTATAAGATATCACACAAGTTAAAAACCCGCCCATCCCTTTTAGAATGAATTTTAACTTAGGAATTATTAACAACCGTGTTATAATTCAATACCCTCTGAATTTGGACCTTGCTTTTGTATGGCAGTACTTTTTGTGCTTCAGGAAGTACCCGCTGCTGCGAGAAGTGTAGTGTATCAGCAACCGTTAGGGTTACTTCCCCTGATCAGTACGCAAATGTTACGAATAGCAAGATGCGAGAAGGTTAGTGTAGCAGACGTTACACTTACTGATATTAAAAAAAATCAAACCATTGACGTGATACATGTATTTTGGGTTTAATATATATGTTGAGTAGGATAAGAAATCAAGACATAGATTAAAGCGCACAACTGTTATTACCTTAAGCATACCTTGGATCAATATTGCGGCAATGTAAAAATATCGGTTTTAAATCTAGGGGAAGATATTAATTCATTTGAGGTATAGATAAGAGTTCAGTTTCATTTATTGGCAATCAGCAATACATTTGTCTTTGGCCATTTACAAACAAAAAACTTATGGCAAAGACAATAATATACATAAATAGCATAGACAAATAATGAAGTACAATATACGATCAGAAGACAGGTAAACTTTCAAGGGTATTTGGCGTAACCATAATGCTTCTTTTATATACTTTGCAAGATTAAACATGTATTTTTTCTTTTATTTGACATCAATGCATTAATTTTTTGTATAGTTGGCCATAACAATTAAGCATATAATACGGTCAAATGGTCAATACCAATACCTTATAAAACATCTATAATTAAGTTACACAGTATTTTTAACAATTAGAAAGTGTTAACTAACAGAAGAATATACAATCACTTAGTGACACAAGTATCAACATGTCTCAAATAATATTACTGGTAAATAAAGGTCAGATACCATCCTATCAATAAGGGAGTAAATCACAAAACAAATCAAAAATAAATATATATATAAGAAATATATATATATAAGAAACAGTCATACAGCGTTTTGGACAAACATTTGATTAACTGTAAAAAATAGAGTTTCGAAAATCGAAAGCCTTAAATATATACATTGATAAGTTTCTAATTTCTATTTAATTTTCTGAATTCATCAAATTTTTAAATGCAAAAAAATAAGGTATATTTGGTCTTTTCCAAAAGTGTTTCTCGTAAATATATATATATATATATATATATATATATATATATATATATATATATATATATATATATATATATATATATATATATATATATATATATATATATATATATATATATATATATATATATATATATATCGTGATTCCGCATATAGCAAACATTCTAAAATAACGTGAAATTCATCTTCAAAAAATTGCATTTCCCATCATTTAAAGGTAAAGCAAAAGGTTTATTCCATCTGCCAGTTTAAATTAATAAACTCGAAGCCGGCACAGTTCAATTCAAAAGTTTGCAATATTTATACAGCGTGGCCGAGAGGTTAACACGACTAGTTATCTAAGGATATTGTTTCAAAAGAAGTATGAATAATCCGCCGGTTCTAAAGACTACTCCTAAATAAGTGAATATTTCGGCAATTTCCTTTTTATCCTTTACATAAAATTAAATGTTAAGTCTGAGTCTCCTTTTTCTCAAAATCATTATTTTAGTTTTCTTAAAATTAACAATTAATCACCACTTATCATGATAATTCTCCAATAGCAATACACTTTTATGCAAGCCTTCTTCTGTTTAAAATACCAATATCAATATAATCTGCTTATTAAAAAACAAGTTTAAGAAACCGAAATGAACTCCTTCAAATTCACTCATAATAAAATATTCTTCTATGTCACACAATATTAAGGATATACGCGTTTAAAACACAGTGATAAGAGAATATTTCTTAAAACCAAAGCTATCTATCGATACGTATTCTAATGGATTTATTTACAAAGTTGATTATACTAGTTCGTAAAAACCTACGGGTCAATTTTCAACGGACTCAAAATCTAATATTACACCGGCGCTTTTCGAAGACAAGTGCTGACTGAAAGCATAATGTGTTCAATTAATTGTCGTTCAAGTTAATTATTAGGCGTATGAAATATTATATCTAAAATTATTAATAAGATAAAAGGTCAAAGCTTATTATGCATCAAATCTATACAATTGCTGTTATTATCAAAATAATGATAGTGACGTTTCATATTTAGAGTTTAAAAAAAATTTTTTTTAAATACATGTATACAGTCAAAATACTTTTGTGAGACTGTTCAGAAGACAGGGGTAAAAATAAATACATGATCATCAATTTAGTCTTGAAGAACGATAACACCTTTGATAAATTTTGAATTCAATACATTTTAACTGTAACATTCCAAACATTTCATACTGCACGTAGAATACGTCAAGGTCAAGTTCAACTAGAAGGGTTTTTGTCACTCATGTGAAGTGTCATTGAAATCCTATCAGTAGCTTGACCTGTGAAAGCTGGATAAAATTATTCTATTTATAACTCTGACGACCATTTTGAGCAGCGAATCGGAATGTACCGGTATTGTGCACAACTAGGGATGGTACTGATTACTCCTGTAAAGTTTGGTTAAAATCCCATCAGTAGTTTGACCTTTGAAGGCAGGATTATATTTTTCTATCTTTAGCCCTGGCGGCCATTTTGTGCAGCAAAGTGGAACGTGCCGGTAATGTGTCAAACAAGGAATGGTACTGATCACTCCTGTAAAGTTTGTTTGAAATCCCACCAGTAGTTAGACATGTGAAGGCCGAACAAGAATTTTCTATTTTAAGCTATGGTGGCCATTTTGTGCAACGAAGCGGATTGTGTCCGTGATGTGCACAACTAAGGCTGGTATTGATCACTCCTGTAAAGTTTGGTTGAAATCTTACCAGTAGTTCGACCTGTGAAGGCCGGACAAGATTTTCTCTTTTTTTAGCTCTGGCGGCCATTTTGTGCATCGGAGCGGAACGTGCCGTGATGTGCACAATTACGGATGGTACTTATCACTCCTGAAACGTTTGGTTGAAATGCAACCAATAGTTTAGTTTGACCTGTGAAGGTCGATCAATATTTCATATTTTTAGCTCTGGTGGCCATTTTGTGCAGCGAAGTGGAACGTGAAGGTAATATGCACAACTAGGGATAGAAATGAGCACTCCTGTAAAGTTTGGTTGAAATCCCACCAGTAGTTTGACCTGTGAAGGGCGGACAATCTTAATGAGGACGGATGTTCTAACGGGACAGTAATAATGTGGCTACTGTACTCTATTGTTCTCTCTTTTGTTGTTTTTAGCCACAAAAAAAAGAAAAAAGCCACATAAAACCATTACGGAATGAATGACATCATCAGTCACACCTATTGTCCCTCTAGCCACATTATTACTGTCCCAAGAGAGCGGACGGACAGAAGGACGGACAAACGGCGAAGGAAAAAGCAATATGTCTCCCAAAGGTTTTGGGAGACATAATTTAACGTTCCTAAATGATTGCAGTGGACAAGTATGAAGATAACACATTTCGTAATACCAATAGGTATAGCTAATTGACCATGTCCATAGTTAGCGAGTACCACACTTTAATTAGTAAAGTGGTACACATGTGATAAAGGATACTAACATGATCCTTGTTTTAAGTCATAAAACCATCAATATACTATCATGTCATTGGAAAGCAAATTATCAAGCAGATTATGCATAGTTTTACGGTATGTAAGCATATCATGTAAAGTTACATCATTCGGAATATTTATAAAAATCACTTCAAGCAACAGAAATTTACGTGAAAGCTTTTTCAGCTCAGAGTAAATTATTTTCAGTGTTCGCCACGTTATGTCCTTCTAGAGCTGTAATCACCGTTAAAACGTCACAAATAAAATCTTTATGAGAACTTAGTTATTCCTTTATGAAAGTCATCCGGCCTAAAAACTGAAAAAATACATGATTGTACAATTTAACCAATTTCGGAAATAGTAGAATACATCAATTTACAGCCTTCATAAGCGCACTAAAATTATATATTATTAATTACTTACTTTTGAATTGTTTATGTAGTATATTTCTTCTAAACTGGATTATTTCTCGAGCGCCGTTGTACTTCCTCTGACAATTTTTATACATCAGAAACGAAACTCTTTAAACAATATTTGACTATTCTCAGGTACACTGTACATTCGAAATGGTGAGTAATCAAAGGCGTGTGCTACAATGGCTTGTTGTGTCATGAGTGCCTGATAAGAAACCACACACGTCTTTTTATCATAAAATATGACCCAAAAGATTATAGAAACACGAAATCGATTATTATTTATTTATTAAGTTTTAAATCGTTTAACATTTAAAAAAAAACATTGGCGGCACGAATTGAGCTCACACTTATATTTTTTAGACAAATACAACCCTTAAAAGCTGTTAACACTTTTCAACTATTAACTTAGATTTTTATCTAACTAAACATTTTAATTTTCATGAATTTGAATTTTCCATATTAAACATTTTATTGAGATAATAAGATTGTCAGATTATTCTCACTCTTAACAGTTACTCCAAATGACTGTTCCACCGCTATCTTATTATCCGCATATGTGTTAACTGTTCCGCCATATCTATTTTAAAGTTCCTCCTTTTTAGCTCACATGAGCTAGCTCAGGTTAAGCTTTTAGGATCGTTGACTGTCCGTCGTCCGCGGCCGTTGTCTGTCGTCCGTCCACATTTGTTCGTTAACACTCTAGTGGTTAAATGTTTGCTTCAATCATCCTCAAACTTTGTCAGGATGTTTGTCTAGGTAATTGCTGGGATAAGTTGGAACATGGGTGATCTCGGATGAAAAACTAGGTCACAGGAGCTAAAATACACTCAAGTGACTACTTGATTTGCTCCAATTATTCTGGGAATTTGTCTTAAAGTTTATTTTATGATTTTCAGGTCAAGTTCGAATATGGGTCGCCTTGGGTCAAAAACTAAGTCACTACGCCCATTTATGGATAATCATTGTTAATACTCTAATAATCACTTTTTTATTCAATTGTCATCAAACTTAGTCAGGATGCTTGTCTTAGTAATTGCTTGGATGAGTTCAAACGTGGGTCATCTCGGATGAAAAACTAGGTCACAGGAGCTAAAAATAAAAACATCTTGTTGACACTCTAGTGGCGACTGTTTTGATATAAGTATTCTGGAAGTTGGTCTGAAATTTGTTTTAATGATTTATAGGTCAAATTCGAATATGGATTACCTGGGGTCAAAAACTAGGTTACACCGCCCAAGTATGGAAAGCCTTGTTAACACTGTAGTGGTCACATTTTTTACTCAATTGTCAGGATGCTTGTCTACTGAATTGCTCGGGTGTGTTTGAACATAGGACATCTAGGATGAATAACTAGGTCACATGATTAAAAAACAGAAAAAATCTTTTTAATTCTCTAGTGGCTATTGTTGTTATCCAAATATCCCAAAGAAAGGACAGCAAGTTTGGTTTATTGATTTCTAAGTCATGTTCCAACATGAGTCACCTGGGGTCAAAAACGAGGTCTCACTGCCCAAATTTGGAACACATTAGTGGTCACATTTTATTTACTAAATTGACATTAAACTTAGTCACGATGCTTGTCAAAGTAATTGCTCGGATGTGTTCGATTGGTCAGATGAGCGATCTATGACCATTTTGGACCTCTTATGTAAATTAAATGACCCTGGTTCTGACGAATAAAAACAAACTTGAAAGATTAAAAAGCAAAAAATATAATTGTCTTTCTTGATAAAATGTCGACTGAAAAACAAGGAATATATCTAATTAATAACACGTATAGACCAAGTAAGTCTTACATATGATTTCATTTCAATTTTACAAAAGCTTTTTAGTCCCCTACCGGTTTAACCGGAGGGGACTTTAGGTTTACCCTCCGTCCGTCGTCCGTCTGTCTGTCTGTCTGTCTGTCTGTCTGTCAGTCCGTCAGTCCGTCCGTCCACAAAACTGGATCCCGCGATAACGCAAAAAGTACTGAAAATATTTTTATGAAACTTGATATATGAATAGATGGCAGTATGGAGATTATGCACGTCTTTTTCTTTTCTTCCTATGTTGAAAATTCTGGTTGCTATGGCAACAAATAGTCTGAAAATATGGCAAATTTAACACATAAACTGGATCCAGTGATAACTCAAAAAGTACTAAAAATATTTTTATGAAACTTGAAATATGGGTAGATGGCAGTCTGGAGATTATGCACATCTTTTTCTTTTCTTCCTATGTTAAAAATTCTGGTTGCTATGGCAACAAATAGCCTGAATTTCAAGATTTCTGATTTAAATTTTTCAGCTTTTTCACTATAAGTTCTTTATTTCTTAAGGTGTTTACTTCAAACTTTAAATATAAGTTTCTGGTCATCAACCACATCATATGTGACAAGGTTTACAACTCTAGCACAAAAATTATCAGTATTACCTCCCTTGAACTTAGAATTTTTATGAAAAAAAATGTTGTCTTTTTTAAATAACTTCTTTATTTCCTAATGTATCTACTTCAAACTTCATATATATGTTTCTTATTATCACTCAACATTTTTGAGGAGGTTAAATACTCTAGCAAGACTATTTCCAGGATTATGTCCCCCTTGAACTTAGATTTTTTTCGAGAAATTGGTATTTTTCACTCCAACTTCTTTATTCCTTATAGGATTTACTTTAAAATCCCACATTGTTATAATATGACAAGGTTGTATAAACATTATTTCCTTACTAGGCAGGGAAACTTAAAACATTACTGTGATATAGACAAACTTAGAACTCAAAAGATTTATGTTTATTCATGTCATTCATTCACTGGTAAAATTGAATGGCCAATCAGAATTCTAACCGGTAGGGGACTTATGGATTGCTTGCAATACTATGATAATTGCTTGTTATATTTGGTGTCTAGCAACAGTTTTCAAAAAAGTTGCTCATTAGTCATATTTCTGAACCATTCTTTGTTTCTTTTTCGTTTCGGTAGTTAGTAAAGTTATAGTGAGTTAGTATTTTGTTTTGGAAGTTAAAATACCACTTTGTTTACATGTTCCTACCTTTATCACAATTCATTTCACATTCAACATTATTTCATTAGGGTAATTAATATCTCGCAATTTCTAAACCAATCATCACAACAGTATTTAACACATATTTGCCCTTTTTTACATTATGAAAATTTATTCATTACCAAAGCATAATGTACTTTTATAGCATATAATTATCAACCTTCAGCCAGTGCATAGTTGTCAATACCTACTGATATATCTAGTATAGTCCTTTAATGGAGTTAGAAAAACCGTTTACTTCCTGGCAAAGTTTAAATGTCTCTGCAAATTCGAAAAAAAACTATTTTACTCAAAGTTGCTTAGACCCTAGACCTACAAAAGTTAATTCCATTACACCACATGACACATGATATGTCAGATTATTTTACAGACTGAATTAAGTTCCAAGAGTTTATTAACAACAAACTGAACAAAGACATTAGCTGGATATAAGGTTTAATAAAAAATAGTTATTTTGATAGCAAAAAATTTGTTGTTGTTTTTAGATCGATATAACACCATAATAATACAAAGTAGAAACATTTTATACCAACATAGCATCTCTCCTATCTAACCAATAAAGGATTTTAACATAAATCTGTTACATTTATATTAAAAACGAAGCATTGTAGGACGACAAAATGGAATTTCTTTCATTGTTATAGATTAAATTTAAGTTAGATTGCTTTCAGGGACATATTTAGAAACATCATTTAATATATAAACGTATCACAAGTTACAAGCAATCTTTATAGCTATACCCGACATATTTTGTCCTATCTTTTGAGAGATTGTAATAGAGATACTTTATTATGTTCTATGGCTACACTAAACTTTGTCAAAACTATTTTTGTATTGAATTTATCTGCATCGCAACCTACTACCATTTTTAACATTTTTATTTGCTTAAATTTCATTCTAAAAGATCTACAATAAATAGTATTACTTGTGTATCACTATAGATTGCTTCAATCTGCGCATCATGAAACTTGATTGAACCAGCAAGTTCGTCGAATTTTTTATCAACCTACAAGGTCTACAAATTTGAGCAGTGTCGGGCAAAAGGACATCCTTTTGATATACATTATATTTAAATAGTAATTAATAAACAATCAATAAAACAAAACTATACTGTAGCTTTAACATTCAAGTGCAGTGAAAGCAGCACAAGTGAGAAGTAACAGTTTCTCAGCACTGCAGTTCTGCTTTAATGAAAGACAGTAGCCATATCAGTGGTTTTAAGTTTATTAGTTTTACAACACGCTAATTAAGTGATATGTTGCAAAAAAAGTTCAACTGACAATTTAGCGAACATACAGACAGATGAACGACGAGTAGCTTGACGAGTAGCTTGACGAATAACGCCAAGGCTATATCACCCCTACCTATCCCTCCCCCAATTTTGTTTCGCGAGATGATAATGTTGAAAAGGCAATTCAAAAATGTTATGCTACTCAACCTGGTAAGTACAATATTAAAGTATTAAATGTTTCAATTATTTACTATGTAAAACAATTTAAGATTTAAGATTTTAAATCTCCCTAGAAATTCTACGTATCTTATACTAAACGATAAGCAACCATACTTTATTCTTGTAGTCTTGTTTCAAACCATACTAAAGTAACAAAAAGATGAAACACGTCCATAATTGTTATTGATTATGACAGATTAAAAGTTTAAGGTTCTCAATTCAAAAGCTGATTTGACTGTAATGTCTTGCAAAAAGAAGAAAAGATATTAATGTGTCGTTAAAGGAAATGCTCAAATCAACCATGGTTATTACAACGAATACTAATCTAATCAATCGCATTGAAAAATTAGCCTCCAAGCACTGTTCGATCTAATAAGAATAATCGCATTATTGCATTGAAAAGGATATTCATTATGGATCAAAGAATTGCTCATCAATTCGACTGGTAAAATACTGATTCCTTTTGAGATATTGTGATCATGAAATTCAATTGTTGTTAATAAAGCCGTCTTTTCCGGATTTTTTTTTCCAGCAGATAAAGCCTTTTGTAGATGTCATATTTTTGAAAGATTTTAGATGATAACTATGCATTTAATATTTTCTGCAATAATTCC